CCGACTGAAACTGTAGGAGGAGTCTCATTTTGAAAGAATTTCTTAGAAATTTCTATTTTCAGTAAACACGGCAACATCGTTCAAAAAAAAAATCAATAACCGATATACAGAATTATGTATCTTAGTGTAGTCTACTTTTGTGTCCAGTTATATTGAAATCAGACTAAAACTGTAGAAGAGGCGTTTTGAAAGAATTTCACAGAGATTTCTATTTTTAGAAACCATGGCAACAACGTTCATCAAAATCAAAAATCGATAATCAGAATTATTTATCTAAGTGTAGTCTACTTTTGTACCCAGTTATATTGAAATCGGACCAAAACTGAAGGAGTACACTTTTCAAAAAATATTTACAGATAAACAGACAGACAGGCAGACAGATGGATGACGGACACCTTACTATCGAATTAGCTCTTCTGGTCTCAGACAAGTAGAGCTAAAATCTATGAGTAGTGCATATTTTTAGGTTTAAATTTAGAAAGCATATTTTCGTTATCTTTTTTATATGTTTAAAAAAACCTTCAATAAAACCCAAGTTGCCAACCTTAAATTAAAAAGAACACTATTCTAGTTCACCCCATTTGACACCAGATTCATTGCTGGAAAGAAATTGAGATTAATATAATTATATATATGTAAATAATAAGAAATTGTTTTTCTAATTTTTTTAAAGAAAATTCAGTACAGAGGCTTTCAAACTGTAAATAGGGTGCATATATATGAAATTTTATTAGCATTTTTTTTCCAATGCACAACAATATATCTATGAATATCTGACGTATTGTCTTGATTTTAATTACAGTCGTCCCAAACTAATAGCACATCTACATTCCGATCTTATCAATAACATAAGAAATTCCCAACACTTCCCTTCCTAGACAGACATATTTCAAGTGTTACTACGTTAAATTACATGTCAATATTTGCTACTATGTCTGGTAAATCCTGTCAACATATACATCCTTCCCTGATGGAAACCTGACTATGCTTAATCTAACAATAATCATCACAGAGCTGCCAAGTAGAATCTACTCAGTATATACTTCATGCACTAGTATGTAAAAAATATATAATATTCTATTTATTTGAGAGATGTCCTCTCAATCATTTTGGAACTAATCATATTCATTAAATAAGAACCGAATGCCATAGTTCAGTTCAATTAACGTATTTCCATCCTCACAAATTTATGGCTTAAAGTAGAAAAAACTGCATTTATTTTCACTGAAAAAAGTTTGTTAATAAAAAAAAATCGCAAAAATATATAGGTTACCATATTTCTTAAGATGTAAGGCATAAAAAAACAGAATTAATGTTAGCATTAAAAATTCGTACATTTTTTAGGAAACAACGTTACAAAAACTTAAGTAAAAACTTGTTCAAATACATAATTGTGATGCTGAAAGTTCCAATAATTGCTAATATAATTGCTACTTTATAAATATGTTTGAATTGTGAATATCAGGGAAACTATTTTACATTCGAAGTACAATAAGGAAAATGCCTGAGTATAGATACATGAGAAGGAGTTATAGTCCTTAGAAACATTTTTAAAGATTCAATGATTGATTAAATAAAGAAAATAATCAATTTTGTAATTCTTTTACTAAACAATATTTGTTATTACACCTATTGAAAAGCATTCTCCCAAAGAATATATTTACATGGGGTATGAATTTAAATTAATATCAGTTTTTGTAAAACCTATGACATCACAGGAGGGTGGAAATACCTTAAAGCAGAAAACAAACGAGTTAAAAAGAATTCGTATCAATGATATTATTTTATAAATTTCATCTAAACTTTCTTTTTTTCATATAACACATCAGGAGGAATACGTTAAATTTTGTTTTGACTTTCCTGCTAAACTAACTTATCGAATTTTATATTTCTGTGTTTGGTTAAGTATGCGCCACAGAACGAAATGAATGTGTCGATCGTTTTGATCCACTTTTTATGGGTTTCTGTTCTGACATTTCAGATTAATATTAATTCAAAATTTAATACAAGCAGATTATTTATAAGTCCCAAGAACATTCATAAAGTCCTGAGACTCTGCCGAGACCTCTTTTGGACAAGAGACGAAAATTCTTTTCACTTTTTAGGTATACAGGAAAGATTAATCATCCGAAAAAGAGACGTTAGTTAATCAATTGTCTATGTGCAGTTAGGCTTATTTATTCCTTATTACTGGACCCCTCTGCTTTTAAACAACAACAAACTATAAAATTTTGGATTGAAATAAAGTATGACTAAAATGTCATGGGTAGATTTGAAGATGGTAATATGAAAAATTGATAGAGCAATGTAACGATGAAATATGGAGATAACGAACAGTCTTCATGAAAACTCTGCAGCAGCAGTATAAAAAGATTCTAGCAATCAGAAACTCAAATAAGCATCACTGATAGTGCATGTCAGATTTTAATCAATGTTAAAATTCATTGGAAAGTAAGAAATATTAAAACACATATGAAGAACTTACCATGACCAATGACCTTGAAATAAAGCTACTCGGAATAACCAATGCAGAGATAGTCTCATACAGACAAGCATTAATCTGCCTTGGGAATGTTACACTGTTGTTCACATCAAACTGCCGATTTCATATGGAGATACAACTTCTTTAAACATACATACATGTATGAGTTTGTTATATTCAGTAAAGAATAGTCCCTTTATTCTCTATGTAGAAAAACAATCAACATTAGCTCCTCCGAAAAATATTGACGGTTATTTAATTTTTACTATTAACCAGGCAAAGAGAGTATTTCCACAATATTATTAATTTTGATTCCAATTAGTAAATTCATTTATTGTGACGTAAGGATACCATCAGGACTTCCAAAAATATAACGTCACAATATAAAAACAGTAGCACAATCATATCATCTTGAAGATTTGCTAGCTCTACAGTCAACGTGCAGATAACACACGGGATACAAATGAAAGGCTGAATTTAAATTAATAAAATCAAAATAATATTTTATTGATTTGTTTTGTATTTCATATAACAAAACAATTATTTATTGGTTTTCGGGCAACATTGATTACGTAAATACCCTCGGAACAAAAACATTGCCCTTCGCTCAGCGTTGGGCAATATTTCATCTTTCAGGGGGTAATATAATCAAAGTTGCCCTCAACCCAAGTCAATATTTGTATATTGTTATACTTTAAATTTTGTTTCCTACATATATCTCTACTATGAAAAATCTAATGTTTTTCTGAGCGGTTCCAGAAAAATCCATGATGGACCGCTGAGTGAAATATTGGACCTGTTGATGGACCGCTATGACGTTTATTACATCACACTGAAGGCGGGATCAGCTTTAACTTATCAATTATCGAACATGGAACCCAGCACAAGAAATGTCAAAATAAAAAGTAAAAGGTTTATTGACTGTGTTCTCGGGCAAAATGCCTTTTATTGGACCCTCGAACTAAACTGTTTGCCTTCGGCCTAACAGTCTCAGGCAAACCGTTTGATTCTTGGGTCAGACCAAACGTATGTTGCCCTCGAACTCAGTCAATAAAAGCATATTTTTCACGAGAAAACAGTATCAGGGAGAACGACACAAATAGCTGGTATCTAAATCATGGACAGCCAGGATATACCCCTGGTAATTTAATAAAGGTAAGTGATTATTCAAAGGCATATTTTTAGAAAGGCGAAAAATCATAAGTAATCGTCCTTTGCTTGAATACTATACATTGCATACAACAGCTGCAATATTATACATCCTTTCAACTGTGATTGGTTACTGAAAAATTGTAAGGCAGACTGATACAATTTAACCTTAAAATAATTTTATTGAAGCCTTTTAGTCTTAACCTAAGATTTTAGCTAAGTTCTTCGTTGTTTACGGAAGCCCAATTAGGACCTACCAAAAATATATTTGAATTCGATATAACGAAATGTCGAATTTGTTAAATTGAATTTAATTTGTTATGACAATTTCTTTAAATTCGTTATAATGAATTTAATCTGTTATAACAAATCTGTCGAATTCAAAAATGTGTTATAACGAACTAAATTCTTTACAACGAATTCTAAAATGAATTCTTTAATTTGTTATAACGAATTAAAATCGTTAAAACGAATTCGAAAAATCGCTACATCGAATTCATATATATTTTTCTATAGGCCCTGATTGTAGAATTGCTTAAACGAATTTAATTTGTTATAACACATTTAAGAATTTTGTTTAAAGGAATTTAATTTGTTCTGATAAGTTTTAGAATTCGTTTAAACGAATTCAATTCGTTATAACAAATTTGTTGAATTCGATATAACGAATTGAAAAATTTGTTATGATAGATTAAATTCGTTATAACGAATTCAAAGAAATTATCATAACGAATTAAATTTGTAATTACAAATTCGACAATTCGTTATATCGAATTCAAATTTTTTTTAAAGGTCCTCAATGGGCTTCCGTACATAAGAATGTTTTGATGAAAAGCACTTACTGTTGGTCAAGATGTGTGTATGTGTGAGGGTTTTCTTCAGTTTTATGACATGACTTTTACATTTCTTGCTAAGAGTAATCTGTCTAAGGTCTTTTATCCTTGAAATCACTTAACGTTTTCTTGGAATGTTCAACAGATGTATGTATATTAAAGAAGTACCAGTAAGTACTGATGATTTTGTGAGAAAAATCAATTAAATAAATAAAGTCTGGTAAATTTGATTAGATGATTAGCTTTAAATGTCATTAGGCCGTCAATCTCTTTCAAAGGTTGTTCTAAATATAATTGCCAGAAGTACAAATAAACATGTCAAATTTGTAGGTTAAATGCAGTAAGAATCAAGCTGTCCTCGTCTTTGCTCCTTTACTACATTTTCAGATTAAAAAAAAAGTTGCAGTCCCCTAAATCAAAATACAGGCTAATTAATAGGGAAGCTTTACTATTAACATAAATTTACTATTAATATTTAATTTCCTTAGAATGTCTGCAGTTTCAACCAAAAACGCATATCTGACACCAGAACTTACCGATATTATCAATAACTGTGTAATCTTTGGTATTCATCCTCCCTTCACCATAGCTAGTCTTTGCATTGTACTTTGATTGCAAAGCTTTTTTCTTCTTTGTTTCAGCTTTGTTACTCCTTGATCTTCTATTCCTTAAAACTTTGTCATCATATTTTGGCGACAAAGGTTTCTTTGTTTTCATTCTCTGTTTTTCGCTGCTGTCTTCAAAGCTGAAAATATCTAGTAATTTTATACAACTGCTGGACATCTTTTCTGATTGCTTATGCCCCCTGTTACCCACAGGTCTTTTGTTTGGGGAAATTGTTAGAAGCAAGTCCTGGCTCTCAGTTTCATTATTTGCCTTTTGCTTCCTCTTTAGAGGAGGCATTTTGACTTTCGCTTTTTTACCTGAAATATCACCATTCTCTCGGTCAGATATCCTTTTCCGTGTTTTCAATGGTTTGAAATGCGTTTTAAGAGAATTGTGTTCATTCATTTTCTTATAGATAGTTTTCTTTACACTGCTACCTTTTACAGAATCTAGAATTTCGCAGTTAGAATGAGGTAAACTAGATCTAGAAAACATCTGTTGATTTTTTCTCAACAGCTTTTCACACAAACCCTCCTCCTCCTCCTCATCGTAAACTAAGGTTTCATCACTGTCATACCCACAGGCAGCTTCACATGGCTCTTTTGGAAATAATGAGTTTACACTTGCAAGTGAAGGGATAGAGTGTGGAGACCGGAATATTTTGCTACTTTTATTAGGGTAGACGGTTGGCGAGCACCTATCATGTGAGCTAGTATTTATTTCTTTCGCTGCATTTTCCAGGGATATAGTTTCATTACTGCCATCTAAACACTTATCATCCCCGCTTTCCAAATCCATGCTAGTCAGGACTGTTTCTGCATCTTTAGCAATGGAATTTGATTCCAAATGGTAATTTGCAGGAATGCTACTATTATGACTACCTGAGTTCGATGAAGAATTTACGTCGGTAATGACATGAGACACTGAATGACCGATAGTTGTTTCTGTAGATGAGATGCCACTATGAAATAATGAATAGGTCGGAGATGAATAAGATTTTGGCACTAGAATTTCTGAAGTTAGTTTTGCTTGTGACTTCTTTTTCTTTGAAGAAACCAACTTATTACTAGATTCAATATCGTTACTACCTTTGTCAGAGGTATTCTTACTGTCTTCCTTCATTTCAAATGTGCAGTCGACTTTGTCTTTACAGTCATTCACAACTGGAAAACATTCCTCTGTTGAACGTTTGCAAACAAATACTTCTAACTGACGACAATTGCTCCCTTGCGAGCCCTTTTCTATCATTGCACTAAGTTGTCTATCCAAAATTTTGCCATTCACAGACCTTTTGGAAGATTCCAGACTTTGTATCTTTCTGTCCAATTCTTCTACGTCTGGTTTTGTTTCTAAATAAACAAATGGAGTTTCTTTGTCACTACTGTTAATGTCATCTTCAAACGAATTCATTTCGGGAATCAGAATAGGAGGTTGATGGCTTTCTTGAAATACTGATACTAATGTATTCTGATTATCATCTACAATATTTGGTGCTTCGTCTCGAGACAAGCCCATTTCACTCGACGTATGCTCTTCAGCATATTTTTTCACAGTTGACGATGGATTTGGTTTTGACTTTTCATAAGTGACTGCCTTTAATTTAGACTTAATCTTGCTTAGATGTTCTGGAGTAATGATCAAACCCTTTTTTGCCAAGATGTCCGCCTTACAATCCCCTGTCTTTTCCGGGTTGTTTTCTTTATTTGTTGGATCACAACTTTCTGTTTTTATGAAGCCATCTTTACGAAGAGTCGAAAGATCTTTTCGGTCAATTCGCCTGAGAGAGATGTTTGGTCGTTTCTTAAAGTAATGTGAAATACTGCTATATAATAATTTATCATCAACTTTCCCATCAATGAAATTAAAACCTACACGTTTCAAATCTATTGTTACATGCTCAGTACTCGTCACTTTACTAAAATCTTTTGATTCATATTTTACATGTAAGTCATTTATACCAACTTCATTATTCACAACAGCTGAACTTGGTGGTTTTTCCTTTTCTTTAAATGGCTTTTTTGGCGTAAAAATCGTTTTTCTTTCATTATTTTGTTCAAATCTATGCCTTCTTGCTTTGATGAGAGAAAATTTGTCAATGAATGGATCAAAAACATCAAGACTTGTCTTCATGTTCACATTTTCACGTCGTTTGCTCCTAAATCCTGTTTTTCGTCCTCGTTTCTTTTGCTCCATTGTATATTGACCATTCCCACACGACTTAAATTTAATTTTGATCGAAGATTTATTATTCTGGAAGGGTGGTGGAATATGTGTGGACTCAACCCAATAAATTCGCTTTTCGAGTCCTTGATGTTTATTGATATTGTAGTAGAATGGATGCCGACAGGTCACTGGAGTGGGTAATTGGGCACTATCCTCACCATCTGTGAATAGCCTCTCCTTTCGTGTGTCAGTATTTTTCTCGTACAACCAATACTCTTTTTTACCCTGGAAAGACATTGAATATAATTAATTGTTAAAAGTTTCATATTTGTAAATGTATGTAGTTATTTATTATGAAATTCTGTACACTATCTATCTATTACTTTTTACTTATATCATAACAATTCATTCCGTATATTTGTTGAGTGTTTTCCTCATTTTACGATCTTGGAACCATGTCAGAGAACTTTGCATTTATAAGGTTTACCACTTATGGTAACGATACAATCAGTTAAATATATAGTTCAAAGGTAACTAAGTTTCACTTGGATCCCTCTGAGATAGCACTGTCAGTATTTAAGAGCCAATCTCTGTATTGACTTGGAATTTTATAAAAACAAAAAACAAAAAAAAAACAGAAAAGCTGTGGCACGCATAGTCTCAGAATTACTCCAACTCTCTATGAAAAAACTGGTTGCTATGTTTCATGGTTACCATGGCAACATGCCCTAAAGTTTGAAAAAGGGCATTTTTCAACATGTTCAGAGACCCTTAGTTAATGTTTGCAGTAGTGTAAACAAGTGGCAATAAATATTTCCAAAAGTTGAAGGCCTGATGTTTTAAATGCATGATAAACATATCTGGGAAATCAACTTTTATATAGGTTATTATGGAAAGAAAGTATTAAAAAGAAATAAATTTGTTCACTCATTTTTATATAGTAAAACACTCAAAAATAAAAGCAATTATAGGTTGAAATGCAACCAAATAAAAGACAAAGGTCCTTCTATGACATACCAAGGACGAAATGATATATTTGATATTGGTTGGCAATGGTTATCATGGTTTTAATACCACAAAGGAATTTAAAATTTACTCTCTGTATATTTTAATCTGATCATTTCCTTTTTAAAATGCACAATTCTATATAACTGGTGATCAATTATTAAAGACATTGGTGGTGACTTAATTTTCACATTTCAAAAATTCAATTTAAATTCTTTAAATAGAGCGTTGCTATGGAAAGAAGCAGGAAAAATATGTATAAAAAGCCAAAAATATTTTGTTTCCTTGGATACGTACCCTTGTATGTAGATTCCCAAAACTTTTATGATTGATATTTATGAACAACTAACCTGACTTTTAATTTTGACTACCAAACAATCTCTAACTGGATGCAAGAAGCTACCGCATGGGTTTAATGTTGCTACAAAGTGAGCATAATCGAAAATTTTCCCTTCTTGGTAACCATAGCAACAATTTTGTTTTTTCATCAAACTTTAGCAATAGATGTACATTTGTCCAAAACTTAGAAACAAATTTTATATGGCTACACTGTGTTTCCATGGCAACCGTAAAATTTCAATTTAGAAAAATATTGCCAATACATAATTGCTTAAGGTCATATATTTTCATCGTTTTTCTTGAGTTGTTGATCACGTTTGACCATGTTACACCTATCATTAGTGAATATAGAGCATTTTTCGGCATTTTAAATGTATTCCAAATGTACCCATGGTTACAACTTACTTAGAGGTATATTCTAAATAGTTTCTTTAAAGCATAAGCGGCAACAAGGTGTCATGTTTTTGTGAGAATGGTTTGTTTTTCTTAGTCTTTATTAAAGCTCAATAAAGATTCAAAGTTGAGGAAAATCTCAAACATGTAAATTATTTTTTTAAACACAATAATTATATAATCAAAAGTAAAGACAAGCGGAAATCAAACCATAGTAAAATGATTTCTTAAAGTAAATTTATGTAAGTGCTGATTTAATCCTCAGGAAATGAACTTTGCAGCAAGGAAAAAGAAATTTCTACATGTAGTATACAAAAAGAGACATTTTGCAACGGAAATGCAGTTAATAACAAGCATTATCTTGTTATATTATTTCTCTATTCGTCAGAGGAGAGAGCTAGAGAGAGAGAGAGAGAGAGAGAAAGAGAGACAGAGTACATGAAGCACATAACTGGAATTTGTACCTGACTCGTTATAAATTAATTCAATCAATCGATTGATCAAAAATCGATCAATACTTTTATTGATCCATCAACTGATCATCGACTGATCAATCAATCAATCGATTGATCGATCCATATAAATTTAAAAACGTAATTGCATAAAGTATAAAAAAAAATCCCAAAATGAAACGTGTACACTTTCCTCAACATTCTTCATCAGATTCACAACCGTTGACTGGTTATAGAGATGTTGATTTAAGTAAGTCATTGATAATGTACTCGCCTAATTTGCAAAATAAATACAGTATGTACAGTGAAGGTTATCTTATAAATTACTACATTTTTGTTTGAATAAAATTAGTTTAATTTAATTCTTGACGATGGAATGAAAAAATAATTCTACTCTGACATTACATCATAATCTAAGAAATTCAGTCAGACTATCTCTTTACATTAACTGCTTATCTTATTTACGAATTGCACTGTGCCTACCTTACAACTATCGTCGACACTCAAATTGAGCAACATCCCAGAGTATAGTATAACAGTGCACATTGGATAGCGTGCGGTGTTTATACACGGCAATATCGGGATGTTAGTTTATACTGCGAATCTTTTACATGAAAAAACCAATGATGCTTCGACACGTTGGGTAGAGAATTGATAATGACTACAGAATATTGATCATTAAACCCAAGTCGTTCCATTTCTAACATATTACCTCAGTTGTCAGGTAAGCCTCCATTGATATAGAAAATGTGATATCAAGTGCAGAAATCCCTTCAGTTCACGAATACCCTCTCAAGCAAAATGACTAAGATGTAAACAAACGCAAGAAAACTAACGACTTAGGAGGAAAGGAAGGAAGCTGGCGGTCATGTGACAACTCTTCAGCTTACAATCAATAGAGCCGCTAAACAAGCGCAGGACTGACATTTGATTAAATAGCAAGCTCACTGATGCCCACTGTCTTATTTGATCAAATCTGTATATCTATTATATCATGCTTCTCTGAGTTGTTTTGTTACATGACAATTTTAGTTTGTTTTAAAATCGTAGTAGCTAGTATTGGAGGCGATAAATTTGTAAATCGTACATTGACACGGATGACAACCTTTGATCCCCCTATCTTATCTCCACTTGCTGTACAAACAGTGGAAACGTTCATGTTCTTTGTGCATCACGTCTTCCTTTATTATAAGTTAAAGAAGATGTGCTTTTAAAGGTATATTATTAAACACAATAAAAGGACTTTTGCCACAGTTAATTAGATATGATGAGAGAACTTAAGATGCTTTTTGACTTAGATCTGAAAGCCTTGTAATATAGAAACTGAAATGAGTAACAACATTTAAATGCCCAATGACGAATGGCAATTTAACCTTGTATATGAAACGTATTTAAGGACTTACAATGTAAATCACGTTTACCTTTAGAAATATGATGATGCTGAATAAAGGTAAGGCACAGTAAGCACGCGAAAGGAAGACGTCAGATTACCTGCTTTCCAATTTACTGCGCAGCAACTGCACTAGGGTTAAGAAACCATGCCCATGTTTCGTATTTCTAGAATTTATTTTTAATACAACTGACACTGATATTACGAAAAGAAACAAACCCGGATCTCTGCATGATCTGCTTAAAACGAAAGTTTTGCATGACTTGGTAGTCAAATCGAAAGACCTTCTCACAAACTGCCTTGTGGATAGCGGAAATAAAACATAAAGAAATCAATGTTCTGATTCTATTTGAATGACTATTCATATTCTTTTTTACAAAACAAACAAAACTTATAAGCGTTATCTTTTAATTTGCCTCACCTTTGAGAAACACTTCATTTTATACAAACTGAAAACAAAAAGCGTCCAACTGAACAATGGCGTCAAAAATGCAATTTTCTTCACCTGGACATTCGGTCAACCATTTTATTATAGTATACTCTTACATGAATCATTTCATGTACGAATATTTCAAAACCGTCAGACTTGTTCCCTCTTTTATCTATAATTAATTTGGAAGTATATGCCTACCTCTTTCACGCCTTTTCTTTCGTCACTTCCTGATGGCATTTGTCACGAACACAGACTTGACAAAATGCAATATTCATCACAGTTTCTTAAAATGACAAGGTGATGTCCACCATGCACTCCACAACCATGATCTAACGATAACATGAGGTCTAACCGAGAGACAATAATATCACAAGACCGTATATTTAATCTATTATATTTGTTCACAATATTTCTGTATTTGTGAAGTCCGGGTTTAAGACCCTTTTTCTGTCTCAACTCTTTAACATGCATTGACACAAGCGTTTGTAATAGACATTCATTTAACTGCTGAGTCACTATCATCTCGTGACAACCCAATTGACTCAAATTAAATATTGTTTACCTAATAAGCAAACATTACTACTACTGTGCCAAAGTTTAGTAAATCATCGCATAAAATACTTATGATATCTGATGACCTCAAAGGTCAAATGAAATTTGAAGAGTCAATTGTCTCGCTAAGATATGTAAATCATTGCCTTCGAAAGCCCAGTTACCTAGTACTTCGGTACTAGCTTGAAAATACTGGATATATTTTAAATTGCTGTGGTCAAATTTAGAAATTAATTTCAAAATTAAGGATAATCTCCCTCATGCATAGCTCTGATCCTTCGACTTATTTGGCTCAAGTTTTTGGCACCTTTTTTTCGGCTCTTCCAAGTCTTTTTTATTTAAATATTTTGGATTTCCAACTTTTCGGCTTAAGCATCACCGAGGAAACATAATCTGTCGAAATGCGCATCTGGTGCATCAAAATTGGTACCGTATATGATTTACACAGAACTGTTTGGGACTGTTGAAAGGTAAATAAAGTATCAAGATTATGACTATTTGTTTGTTGTTTAACGTCTCGAGAGAGAATATTTCACTCATATGGAGACACCATCACTTGCCGGTGAAATGCTTCAAAATTAGACCTATACTCGGCACACAGGGCCATTGAGCAGTAAAGGATCTTTTTCGTTCCAGCACCTACTGCTCGGTTTATATGGTCTCATCCGAAGGACAGGTTTCGATGTCCCGCAGTGGGATTCGAACCCGCGACGTAAGGATAAGCTCCTTACTA